TTACGAGGATTAGTGAGGCTCAAGTTAGAGTATGTAGGAAAGAGGGAAATTATTTCCCAGTAAAAGTAGGCCTTAGACAAGGATGTGTGATGTTACCGTGGTTGTTTAATATATTTATAGATGGGGTTGTAAGAGAAGTAAATGCGAGTGTCTTGGCAAGAGGCGTGGAGTTAAAAGATAAAGAATCACACAAAGTGGGAGTTGTCACAGTTGCTCTTTGCTGATGACACTGTGCTCTTGGGAGATTCTGAAGAGAAGTTGCAGAGATTGGTGGATGAATTTGGTAGGGTGTGCAAAAGAAGAAAATTAAAAGTGAATACAGGAAAGAGTAAGGTTGTGAGGATAACAAAAAGATTAGGTGATGAAAGATTGGATATCAGATTGGAGGGAGAGAGTATGGAGGAGGTGAATGTATTCAGATATTTGGGAGTGGACGTGTCAGTGGATGGGTCTATGAAAGATGAGGTGAATCACAGAATTGATGAGGGGAAAAGGGTGAATGCTGCATTTAGGAGTCTGTGGAGACAAAGAACTTTATCCTTGGAGGCAAAGAGGGGAATGTATGAGAGTATAGTTTTACCAACGCTCTTATATGGGTGTGAAGCATGGGTGATGAATGTTGCAGCGAGGAGAAGGCTGGAGGCAGTGGAGATGTCATGTCTGAGGGCAATGTGTGGTGTGAATATAATGCAGAGAATTCATAGTTTGGAAGTTAGGAGGAGGTGCAGGATTACCAAAACTGTTGCCCAGAGGGCTGATGAAGGGTTGTTGAGGTGGTTTGGACATGTAGAGAGAATGGAGCGAAACAGTGACTTCAAGAGTGTACCAGTCTGTAGTGGAAGGAAGGCGGGGTAGGGGTCGGCCTAGGAAAGGTTGGAGGGAGGGGGTAAAGGAGGTTTTGTGTGCGAGGGGCTTGGACTTCCAGCAGGGATGCGTGAGTGCATTTGACAGGAGTGAATGGAGACAAATGGTTTTTAATACTGATGTGCTGTTGTGTCAGCATAGTTGCTGAACCCCCTTACATGTGTTGTATAGATTAGCTGAGCATTATAGTATCATCCATGTGTTTATATAGACGACCCCTTAGGCCTGTGAGTATGACGTCACGGGATGCAGCTTGAGTGTGAGGCGAGCCATCCTAGTTGACAGTAATCAGTGCATTGTAAGAAGTTATTTCTCGAGTAACTTTCACGTGTTGCTAACGTTTGTAAGTGTAGTTTCTTTATAGGTGATACCTTGTGTCACTGTGTGCGACTCAGACTGAATATCAGCATTGTTGACCCTGTTCATTTATTTTCTCCTGTGCTTGCAGTTTGAGATAGTAGATTCATTCTCCCTTGCTCATATTGCTTGTTATAGCGTTTATTTTTTCAACCAGGGAGAGTCATCCACTCCACCGAGTTTGTGCATTCCTCCAGTAAGAAAGAACCGATCCCTTGTGTTCTGGTGATTCGATTCCTGCTCCAGGAAGATCTTATTCTTACTGTGAAGCCACCAGCACCCATTAGTGACTTTGTAATACGCCAAGAATTACTGTATCGAGCAGTTGAGCACTCCTAGCAGAAGAGTTAGTAATTCCACAGTCACTAGTGAATGTAGCTGTATCTTTTGTAGATACTCGTTCAGATCTCCCTCAGTCAAGGCATGTGTTAGCCATAGCTGAGGAATTCGATCCTCCCAGAGATGATAACCATTCTGCATATGTAAACCTCACCCTCGCAGAATTGGGTTTAAATGTACATAGTCTGTATAATTAGATGTCCGAGATGAAGTAAATTGTCAACTGTTTGTTATTAACTGATTAGTTTTTCAGAATTTTTTTTTTTCGTATTCACGTTCCCTCCGTATTCTGAGAATTTGACAGTAATAGTCTGAGTGTACCATATACCTTTGCTGTTAATTTCACCTTGTATATAAATATTTATTCTTCCTCAGAATCCGTAGAGTGCATGAATACAGATCGATCGATCAATTCCATCCATATCGTACAATGATTTGTTCTTATAGTTTGTAATGCATTACGTTAAAAATCATTACGTTAAAAGTGATTACATTAATACCCATTACGTAAAATTCATTTTGTTAACATCCAGTATGATACCATCCATTAGTTCTAAGTTATATATGAATTTGTTATTGCATAGAATTAGCCCAGAACCACCTGCCTGTTCAGCCTATAAGATAGTAGTGTATGTCGAGACGACATACGTAACATGATCGAGCTGTCAGCATAGTTGCTGAACCCCCTTACATGTGTTGTATAGATTAGCTGAGCATTATAGTATTATCATCCATGTGTTTATACAGAAGACCCCTTAGGCCTGTGAGTATGATGTCACAGGATGCAGCTTGAGTGTGAGGCGAGTTACCTCGGCCTTAGTCGGCGTTTGGCATAGGCTAGGACAAGGCAGAAGGCTGGGCTCCACCTCCCTTTACCAGAGTCTGACAATATATCGTTACCATCCACCAAGTGTGTCTACCTTCAACCCTCGATATCTCCGTTTAAGAACCCCTACGATAGTTGGAGTGTGAGCAAAGTAACATTTATGAAGGGGTTCAGGGAAACCGGCAGGCCGGACTCGAGTCCTGGAGATGGGAAGTACAGTGCCTGCACTCTGAAGGAGGGGTGTTAATGTTGCAGTTTAAAAACTGTAGTGTAAAGCACCCTTCTGGCAAGACAGTGATGGAGTGAATGATGGTGAAAGTTTTTCTTTTTCGGGCCACCCTGCCTTGGTGGGAATCGGCCAGTGTGATGATAAAAAAAAAAAAAAAAAAAATATACCTCAATGCACCACTCGCCTTTTTTCCTTCAACAATTCTATGATTAACCTCATCCTTCATAAATCCATCCGCTGACACATCGACTCCCAAATATCTGAAAACATTTACTTCTTCCATACTCCTCCTCCCAAATTTGATATCCATTTTTTCTTTATCTAAATCATTTGATACCCTCATCACCTTACTCTTTTTCTATGTTCATTTTCAACTTTTTACCTTTACACACACTCCCAAACTCTTCCACTAACCTTTGCAATTTTTCTTTAGAATCTCCCATAAGCACAGTATCATCAGCAAAAAGTAACTGTGTCAATTCCCATTTTGTATTTGATTCCCCATAATTTAAACCTTTGACTGTCGCAGGCCCCTTTCTGAAACTGTTATTCTATGTCGCAAAATATTCAAAAAAAAAAAAAGTTATTTTTTCTTATGAAAATATTAAGATTATTTTTCCGAGTGTTTTAGTCCAAAAAAATTTTTTTTGCCATCAGTACTTACTGAGATATAGAGCCATGAAGTTTGCAGAAAATGAGCTGCGTATGGCAACAGCAGCGACTGCCGCTCACCCGGTAAACTTCGGTTTACTTGTATTTGAAGGTTTGTTGTTTTTTCACAATTTTATTTTTTCACATAACTTATGTGGCCTGTGAGACTAAAGTAAGGTGCAACGTACATATATACACTTGTTGTATACAATACAATAAGCACACAAACATAATTATCAATATATTGTTTACAAAACTTGTTTGCAAAAACAAACAATACAAAAATTTTTTTATTACTATTGTTCTATAATACATATACCAATGTACAGTTACCGAACATATTCCTAGAAGTTCTGCAGCTTGTGGAACTCTTTGAAAAATGTTTTCATACACAATGGTGTTTTACACTCCTCACACATAAAACCAGTGTGTGTGGATTTTTGTGGACTTTTTTTTTTATGTGCAAAGACAAAACACCTCCTCTGAGCAGTTTTCTTCAAAGTATTAGCAGGCAGTTGTGTTACGTAGTTATTTTTTTTTTTTTTTTCAACAAGTCAGCCGAGGCATGGTGACCCAAAAAAGAAAGAAAATCCCCAAAAAGAAAATACTTTCATCATCATTCAACACTTTCACCACACTCACACATTATCACTGTTTTTGCAGAGGTGCTCAGAATACAACAGTTTAGAAGCATATACGTATAAAGATACACAACATATCCCTCCAAACTGCGAATATGTAGTTATCCTAGGTAAACGGTCGTGTGTCATCATTCCTTCTTTCCGGCATTCGTTTCCTACCTTCCTACCTACATTCCTTCGTCTTTCCTTACTTTTTTCATTCCTTTCATCTCGTCCTTCCTTCATTCCTGCCTTCCATTTTTCCTTCCTTCTGGTTTCTATATTATATATACACATATATAGTCACTAGATACTTTCATATAACTGCTATTATCTTCATTCAGCAAGCTTGTCTTGTGTGCGAGTGTGTGGCTTATAATTGTTTTGAGTCAGGAGTCGGCAGCTGTCAGTGAATATTATCTCATTACTCACTCCCCCTACTGCCTGTCAAAACAATGGGGTCGGATGTTGCTTCCCCTCCATTCTATCTAATTATCTTTCTCCCTCATTCTATCTCTTTCAATCTGTCTGTCTCTTTCTATCTGTCTATCTCTGTCTCACAGGTACACATAAATACAAGTATACATAGTGTAAATTACCTAGGATAACCCAAAAAATCCAGACAAAGTGCTATACTCTGCTTGAAGATGTGAGTAAACGTGATGATGACGCAGTCTTGTGGCTCTCTCTGAGACAGAGCTAGACAGATAGACAGGGAGCTTGACAGACAAATAGACAGAAATGTTTGTGTACCAGCAAAAACAAAGGGAGGGCGATGGTCATCTAATCTATTCTTATCAGCTGCACCCTCCCCCACCCTCGTTTACACTCATCAAATGTCAGCTCTTATCAGATGTTATCTCCCCTTATCTTGTCACTGTCATGGGATGGACTTTTTTTTTTTTCTTGCTTCAGGGGAACAATATTATTACATCATCTTCTTCCTCTTCTTCCTCCTCCTCTTCCTCTTCCTCCTTCTCTTCCTCCTTCTCTTCCTCCTTCCTCTCTTCTCCTCCTCCTCTTCTCCTCGTCCTCTTCCTGCTCCTCCTCTTCCTCTTCCTGCTCCTCCTCTTCCTTCTCTTCCTCGTCCTCTTCTCCTCCTCGTCGTCCTCTTCCTCTTCTCCTCCTCCTCCTCCTCTTCCTCTTCCTGCTCCTCCTCTTCTCCTCCTCTTCCTCCTCCTACTCCTCTTCCTCTATTGCTTTTGGTCTCAAACTCCTCAAAATCATGAAATTGATCTTCACTGACACTTCCATCTGTGTTAGAGCATCACTTGGGAAGAGAAGAGTCCCAGATTTGTTGGGGAGTCGCATATTTCTTACGGCTAAGTATGCTGAAAAAGGACGACTGAAATAGCATTTCCACAATGCACCACTGGCTCCCCTATTTTCTTTATATGGTGCACATTGACCATGGAGACCCATTCTCTCGCATGTGGGCCTACATGTGGCCTATACCTCGACAACAACCTAAATTTCAGCACCCATATCCAACACATAACAAAAAAAAGTATCCAAAACGGTGGGGATCCTCTCCAAGATACGATACTACGTACCGCAAACTGCCCTTCTCACACTATACCATTCACTTATATATCCATACCTCACCTATGCTATCTGTGCTTGGGGTTCAACTGCAGCAACACACCTTAAGCCAATAATAACCCAACAAAAAGCCGCAGTAAGAATAATCACTAAATCCCATCCCTGGCAACACCTCCCCCCCCACTCTTCATAGATCTAAACTTACTCCCTGTTCAGAATATCCACATTTACTACTGTGCAATCTATATCTACAGGACCTTAAATTCCAATATTAACCTTGACCTAAAATGCTTTCTTGATAGTTGTGACAGGATCCACAGGCATAACACCAGACACAAACATCTCTATGACATTCCCCGTGTTCAACTAAACCTTTACAAAAATTCAATGTATTTCAAAGGACCTAAAATCTGGAACACCCTGCCTGAAAACTCTAGAACTACAGACACATTCATCACTTTCAAAACTACAGTTAGAAAACATCTCATCTCCGTGATCCACCCCGACAACTAACTACATGATAACCACCTGGTGGTTCACAATTACACTCACTCACCCACTGACTATAAACCCAGAAATACTAATCTTAATCTTAAAATAATAAATCCTAACTAGTCATAAGTTTGCCTTTGATACTCCAATATAGACACCTTGTATTGTGCCAAAACAAAAGCATTCACATTGCTAAACTCACAAATTATGATGTAGTCACTTAGCCTTAATACCATAAGCTGTAAGGATTTAATGTTAAGAATTAATCTAAGTCTGCTCGAAATGCCTAGCCATGCTAGGTGTCCTAGTGGCCCCCTCTGTAATTAGTATTTTATAACATTGTAACCCTTACAACCCCATCTATAAATATATTAAACAACCATGGTGACAACACACATTCCTTTCTAAGACCTATTTTTACCGATAAGTAGTGTCCCTCTCTTCTACACACCCTAACATGAGCCTCACTATCCTCGTAAAAATTCTTTACAGCATTTAGTAACTTACCACCTATTCCATATACTTGCAACATCTGCCACATTGCTCCCCTATCAATTCTATCATATGCCTTTTCTAAATCCATAAATGCAATAAAAACTTCCCTACCTTTATCTATTTATTTATACTAAATGGTTATATATGACCATTTAGGAAAAATACCATAGGTCTTTCCCTTCATTATTTACCAAAACCAGTAAACAGCACAACACTGTACTTAAAATTTGTTTAAATTATACATTTGTTATTGCAACCAGCCCCGTATATACATATGATGCTTAGTGTGACTTTTAAGTGAAGGTTACTTAAATTTTTATTAAGAGGATATTACCATATATTTCCATATTAGTAGCATTACTAATATACTGTACTATAATAATATAATTTATGTATAGTCAAAAATTTTAATATAATTGAGCAGCTTCATTACTGCATGAGAAATTTATTTCTGCAAAATAAAGATAACATACAACTTCCAAGAATATATAAATACTGCTGAGCAAAGTACAAGTATAGTATGACTTAATACCTTATGACCAATAACTCTGTTATAGTCTCTCTCCTCTTACACAGCATTGGTTCAGTAAGGTGAAGCACCCAGTGGGAAGCCACCATGTCCTTCAACCAACTGTGGGACCACAGCATTGCACCAAGTGACAAAAAAAAAAAAAAAAAAAAAAAAAAAAAAAAAAAAAAAAAAAAAAAAAATGAAGAAACTTCATGTTAACAGAATGTTCTTCTTAACAATGTTCTTCATTACATCAACATGTCCTGAAAGAAAAAAATGCAGTCATTAATAACATACATACATACAATGCTTAAATTCAAGAATTATGTGGATTAAAGTAAAGGTTGGATGCGAAAAGTGGGTCATAATAAGTGTGTATGCACCTGGAGAAGAGAGGAATGTAGAGGAGAGAGAGAGAGAGATTTTGGGAGATGTTAAGTGAATGTATAGGAGACTTTGAACCAAGTGAGAGAGTAATTGTGGTAGGGGACCTGAATGCTAAAGTAGGAGAAACTTTTAGAGAGGGTGTGGTAGGTAAGTTTGGGGTGCCAGGTGTAAATGATAATGGGAGCCCTTTGATTGAACTTTGTATAGAAAGGGGTTTAGTTATAGGTAATACATATTTTAAGAAAAAGAGGATAAATAAGTATACAAGATATGATGTAGGGCGATATGACAGTAGTTTGTTGGATTATGTATTGGTAGATAAAAGACTGTTGAGTAGACTTCAGGATGTACATATTTATAAAGGGGCCACAGATATATCAGATCACTTTCTAGTTGTAGCTACACTGAGAGTAAAAGGTAGATGGGATACAAGGAGAATAGAAGCATCAGGGAAGAGAGAGGTGAAGGTTTATAAACTAAAAGAGGAGGCAGTTAGGGTAAGATATAAACAGCTACTGGAGGATAGATGGGCTAATGAGACCATAGGCAATGGGGTTGAAGAGGTATGGGGTAGGTTTAAAAATGTAGTGTTAGAGTGTTCAGCAGAAGTTTGTGGTTACAGGAAAGTGGGTGCAGGACGGAAGAGGAGCGATTGGTGGAATGATGATGTAAAGAGAGTAGTAAGGGAGAAAAAGTTAGCATATGAGAAGTTTTTACAAAGTAGAAGTGATGCAAGGAGGGAAGAGTATATGGAGAAAAAGAGAGAGGTTAAGAGAGTGGTGAAGCAATGTAAAAAGAGAGCAAATGAGAGAGCAGGTGAGATGTTATCAACAAATTTTGTTGAAAATAAGAAAAAGTTTTGGAGTGAGATTAACAAGTTAAGGAAGCCTAGAGAACAAATGGATTTGTCAGTTAAAAATAGGAGAGGAGAGTTATTAAATGGAGAGTTAGAGGTATTGGGAAGATGGAGGGAATATTTTGAGGAATTGTTAAATGTTGATGAAGATAGGGAAGCTGTGATTTCATGTATAGGGCAAGGAGGAATAACATCTTGTACGAGTGAGGAAGAGCCAGTTGTGAGTGTGGGGGAAGTTCGTGAGGCAGTAGGTAAAATGAAAGGGGGTAAGACAGCCAGGATTGATGGGATAAAGATAGAAATGTTAAAAGCAGGTGGGGATATAGTTTTGGAGTGGTTGGTGCAATTATTTAATAAATGTATGGAAGAGGGTAAGGTACCTAGGGATTGGCAGAGAGCATGCATAGTTCCTTTGTATGAAGATGAAGGGGACAAAAGAGAGTGCAAAAATTATAGGGGGATAAGTCTGTTGAGTATGCCTGGTAAAGTTAATGGTAGAGTTATTATTGAAAGAATTAAGAGTAAGACGGAGAATAGGAAAGCAGATGAACAAGGAGGCTTTAGGAAAGGTAGGGGGTGTGTGGACCAGGTGTTTACAGTGAAACATATAAGTGAACAGTATTCAGATAAGGCTAAAGAGGTCTTTGTGGCATTTATGGATTTGGAAAAGGCGTATGACAGGGTGGATAGGGGGGCAATGTGGCAGATGTTGCAGGTGTATGGTGTAGGAGGTAGGTTACTGAAAGCAGTGAAGAGTTTTTACGAGGATAGTGAGGCTCAAGTTAGAGTATGTAGGAAAGAGGGAAATTATTTCCCAGTAAAAGTAGGCCTTAGACAAGGATGTGTGATGTCACCGTGGTTGTTTAATATATTTATAGATGGGGTTGTAAGAGAAGTAAATGCGAGGGTCTTGGCAAGAGGCGTGGAGTTAAAAGATAAAGAATCACACATAAAGTGGGAGTTGTCAAAGTTGCTCTTTGCTGATGACACCGTGCTTTTGGGAGATTCTGAAGAGAAGTTGCAGAGATTGGTGGATGAATTTGGTAGGGTATGCAAAAGAAGAAAATTAAAAGTGAATACTGGAAAGAGTAAGGTTATGAGGATAACAAAAAGATTGGTGATGAAAGATTGGATATCAGATTGGAGGGAGAGAGTATGGAGGAGGTGAATGTATTCAGATATTTGGGAGTGGACATGTCAGCGGATGGGTCTATGAAAGATGAGGTGAATCAGAATTGATGAGGGGAAAAGGGTGAGTGGTGCACTTAGGAGTCTGTGGAGACAAAGAACTTTGTCCTTGGAGGCAAAGAGGGGAATGTATGAGAGTATAGTTTTACCAACGCTCTTATATGGGTGTGAAGCATGGGTGATGAATGTTGCAGCGAGGACAAGGCTGGAGGCAGTGGAGATGGCATGTCTGAGGGCAATGTGTGGTGTGAATATAATGCAGAGAATTCGTAGTCTGGAAGTTAGGAGGAGGTGCGGGATTACCAAAACTGTTGTCCAGAGGGCTGAGGAAGGGTTGTTGAGGTGGTTCGGACATGTAAAGAGAATGGAGCGAAACAGAGTGACTTCAAGAGTGTATCAGTCTGTAGTGGAAGGAAGGCGGGGTAGGGGTCGGCCTAGGAAAGGTTGGAGGGAGGGGGTAAAGGAGGTTTTGTGTGCGAGGGGCTTGGACTTCCAGCAGGCATGCGTGAGTGTGTTTGATAGGAGTGAATGGAGACAAATGGTTTTTAATACTTGACGTGCTGTTGGAGTGTGAGCAAAGTAACATTTATGAAGGGGTTCAGGGAAACCGGCAGGCCGGACTTGAGTCCTGGAGATGTGAAGTACAGTGCCTGCACTCTAAAGGAGTGGTGTTAATGTTGCAGTTTAAAAACTGTAGTGTAAAGCACCCTTCTGGCAAGACAGTGATGGAGTGAATGATGGTGAAAGTTTTTGTTTTTTGGGCCACCCTGCCTTGGTGGGACTCGGCCAGTGTGATAAAAAAAAAAAAATACATACAATGCCTGCACTTCACAGGAGGGGTTTGGGATATTTGCTGTTTGGAGTGACATCTGAACTGTCATATCTGCATGCTTCTGCCAAGTCTGTGATTATTTATGAATGATTGTGAAAGTGTTGAATGTTAGTGAAAGTGTTTCTTTCTTTTTTGGGTCACCCTGCCTCAGTGGAAGATGGCCGACATGCTAAAAAAAAAAAAAAAATACACATATTCCCTGCCTTTGCAGTAGGTGGCTATTGAGTTAATAAAATTTATATATCCTTTCCCTAGCAGATCTTGCTTGATGACTGCCCAGAGATTCTCAATTGGGGTTCAAGTCTGGAGAATTTCTTGTCCAATCACTGAAGAAGGGGACCTCACAGGCATTAAACCACTGATCAACAGATTTCAGTGTGGCAAGGAGCAGTCTTGCATAAAAACCTTGTATCACACTCGGTGAAAGATTTGGGTAAATGATAAAAAGAGCAATTTTAGGGACATTATTACAGTTAACGGTGGTGGGGACATTTTTCTAGGAATCCCTGGATGTATTTTGGTGTATGCATGTCATAAACACTACTTAAGGAACTGACACAACCAGGTCATCACTGGATGCTCACACTCAATGAGGGCTTCTATTATTTCTTTAGAGTGATGGCCTGCCTTATATAATCCAAAGATCTGTACATTATCCCATGTCAGCAATTTATTCCTGGCCATATTAATTCACCAAAAGCCAAAAATGGCTGACAAACTTAGCCCTCAGGGCCATATGGCACATGGGGGACCATGGACACAAAACTGTCTACCACACAAGCCTAGAGGGCATACAGGATGCAGCCAGTAGCCTTAGGGAATACTGAGACACTTGTTTTGAGGCACCAGGCTAGTATAACTTTTTGTCTTGAGAAACCTACCTGGGTAGGGTATTATTTAATGATAAGCACTGTACATGCATACATGAATCGGACTTAAGTTCAGCCATCTCTCACTAACACGGGGTGACCCAAAAAAGGAATCACATTCACCATCATTCATCCAACTGAGGTCTTTCCAGAAGTGCCCTGACATTGCAGTTCAGATGACCCTTTCATCTGCAATTCTTCCACCTCTCCTTCAGAATGCAAATATTGCTCTTCTGCCTCCAGATCAGAATCCAGCCGATTTTTGTGAATTCCTTCATATTTGTTACATTGTTTGTATTCCATCAGCACATCAAATATTAAACACCACCATGGCTTTACAACCTAGGTTAATTATATTCAGTGTGTTACAGCAACAAAATTCACTTACCCATTCGGAGCTGAATGTACATTGCCAACATAATAACTTGTGCTGGCATATTACCATTACTTTCTGTCCACACCTGTAGAGAAACAATTATCAACGTAAAAATTATAACTAATTGTCATAACAGTCTAAAAAGCACCAAAAATGAAGTCTGCCAAATTTCAATAGGTTCCAATATGCAACTGACTTATGAAATGGTAATAACATGACTGCAAACAAGTCACAGAACAGGTGGGGCTCAAACCCATGGCAGGCAAGTTCTAAAGTCTGCAGGGTTGGCACAGGTCTGCCATCACAAATCTGGCATCAATGGGACCTGTAGTGTGCCAGATTACTGAGTTTGCCGAATTACAGATGGATAGGTTAGAATACACTTAATAAAGTTAACCAACTTGACTTTCACAAGAAAGTTCATTGAACATCGGCAAAAATCAAACATTTCTGCTACTTTGAGCTCAATTTCAAGGTACTTTTTGTCATGAAATCAATCAAAATCATATCTATTTCTATCAAATGAGACCAAAAAATTGAGAGTACAACCATAAAAAAACATACGAAAATATACAGCTAAGGGGCAGCTAATGGCTGAGAAGCGAACTTCGTTATTTATCGTCCAATTTTTTTAATTTTTGGTGTATGTTACGAAGCATCTTCCATCATACATTACCCAAGTTTCAATAAGATAGCCCAACAAACAAATGAGAAACAAATCTTTACCAAAAATCATATATGGCAAGCCCAAGCCAGGTACTGGAAATAAGTCACTTTGTCTGACTTTTTTGGGGTTATCCTTGGTTCTCTATACATATGCTGCTATGTATGATAATCTATGTAACTATTTGTGTATACCTGAATAAACTTGCTTCTATTCTGTCAACTGAGTACAAGAAACAGAAGAATTCACCAATTTCAACTACCTAATAAAGTGGTCAGAAATAGGCAATTTGGCCAACTTCATACAAATTTCAACATATGCCAATATCAAAATAGGGCCCAAAATAAACAATGCAGACATTCCTGGCACTAAAGTAACATTTTCTCTGTTTAGTAGTCATGGCTCCAGGTCCCTCTTATATTGCTTTTGCTTACCATTTGGAATTTTTATTCACACAAAAAACAGAAAATTTACTGTAATGCAGACTACTGCATTATTGTAATAATTGTATAAATAATGTCAATCCATTCGTGACTGCATATTGGAATTTGGACTGGCAGGCGGACACATATTAGATGGTGACGTCATTTGTTTACTCTGGAACATCGCCAAAGAATCGAATATTTCTGCCTCTTTGAGCTCAATTTCAAGGTACTTTTCGTCATGAAAGCAATCAAAATTATATCTATTTCTGTAATATATATTCCACTCTATCAAATGAGACCAAAAAAACAAGAATACAACCATAAAAACCACACGAAAATATGCCGCCATAGGGCAGTCGATTGCTGAGAAGTGAGCTCAGTAATTTATGGTCCAATTTCTTTAATTTTTGGTGTATGTTAAGAAGCATCTTTCCATAATACATTGCCCAAGTTTCAATAAGATATCCCAACAAACAACTGAGAAAAAAAAAAATTATTTACCGAAAATCATATGTGGCAAGCCCAAGCTTCAGCTTGACTCAATCATCATTACTGATTCTATGTCATCATTGAAGGCTCTTGACTCGTATAAGGACTCCAACAACACGCTCATTGAAGCCATGTACAGATACTCAAAAATCCAGGAAAAAGTAATTAATGTACCACTGCTGTGAATCCCATCACATAACGGATTACTCCTTCATGATTATTATTATTATAATCAAAAAGAAGCGCTAAGCCACAAGGGCTGTACAGCGCTGCAGGGTAGGGAACGAAGCGAGGGTACTGAGCGGCAGAAGGGGGGAGGGATGATCAGTAGGTTACAGAAAACAGCGAGGCAGGGGATAGTGCGGGGGTAGAGGGCAGCAAGAGATTAAGGTAGAAAGGGCTGAAGGTATCATCAGAGTTTGTGAAGTCCATTGTCAAAAAGTCAGAGAGAGTCCGGATGAAAGGTGGGTCCATCAGCGAGAAGGGAAGGTAAAGAAAGAGCAGTGGAGCGAAGACGACGTTGGAGGTATATTCTGCGTGCTCACTGATAAAGTGGGCGGTCTAATAGAATGTGGCTGACCGATAACGGAACCTGACAATTCTCACAGAGAGGAGCAGGGCGCCTCTCCATGAGATATGCACGAGTAAGACGAATATGGCCAATGCGAAGACGGGAGTAGTCTCCCAACCTCGACACTGGTGACAAGAAGACGGCCAGTAACCTATACTCGGTTTAATAGACTGAAGTTTGTTACTGAGCAGAGTAGACCAACGTTGTTGCCAACGTGTGTGAAGGTGGGTAGCTACTGCAGCAAAATAGTCTGTAAATGGAACACCTCTATATGAAACTGGTAGGTCACGTACTGCTGACCATGCAGCAGTGTCTGCCTGTTCATTGCCCTGTACATCAACATGGCCAGGGACCCAACAAAAAACAATATCTTTATGCTTGGTAAAGATGTGGCGTAGCCAAAGTTGGATACGGAGGACTAAGGGGTGAGGTGTATCAAATTTCTGTATAGCCAGTAAAGCACTAAGGGAGTCTGAGACAACCACAAATGATGACACAGGCACAGATGCAATACGGATAAGTGCTGCAAGAATGGCATACAATTCAGCAGTAAAAATACTAGCCGAAGATAGTAAATGCCCTCGTACGACGCTGTCCGGAAACACTGCTGCGAATCTTATGCCGTCAGAAGACTTAGAGCCATCTGTGTACACTGCAATGGCATGAGAATGAGAGTGGAAGTGGTCAAGAAAAAGAGCGGGAAGCTACCGAAGACAATTGGGCTTTCGAGCAAGGGAGTGAGAAAGAACAGACTCGAACAGCTGGAACTTCCCAAAAGGGTAGGGAAAAGTGAGATGCTACATGAACATAGAAAGGTGGTAATTGAAGAGAAGACAAGAGCGAATGTAGGTGAAGAGAGAAGGGACGGAGCAAACAGGCGGCGAACAAATAAAGAATGTCTACTAATATCGGTGACCATTCTATAAATGGAAGGACTGTGGAGATCATGAGAGTGTACATAGTAGCGAAGGCAATGGGCATCACGGCGATCGGATAAGGATGGAACGTTCGCTTCTGCATAGAGGCTCTCGACAGGGGAAGAGCGAAAAGCACCAAGGCATAAACGTAATCCTTGGTGATGAATGGGGTTAAGGCTAGAGAGAGTAGCAGGAGAGGCCGCTGAATAGATCTGGTCACTATAATCAAGTTTCGATAAAATGAGGGTGGAATGTAGGTGAAGGAGAGATCGACGATCAGCTCCCCATGAAAGATGAGCAAGGGTTTTAAGAAGGTTCAGCCGGCTGTGGCAAGTTGCCTTCAGAGAGGTAATGTGAGGTTTCCAGGATAACCTACGTTCAAAGAGGCGGCCTAGAAACCAGACTATCACGTTCAGGGATACGGGAGCCATAGAGATACAAAGGATGATCGGAGATGACAGAGTGTCTAGTGAAAGTAATTTGGTGAGTTTTGGTACTGGAAAACTTAAACCCATGTGTGGTGGCCCAATTGGAAACACAGTCGACCGCATGCTGGAGAGAAACTGTAATGAGGTGACAGTCAGCGCCTGCACAGGCAATAGCGAAGTCATCAACATAGAGTGATGACCAAATATTTGATGGAAGACTAGAGGCCAAATCATTTATAGCAAGGAGAAAAAGTGTTGTGCTCAGAACACATCCCTGGGGGACACCTTCAGCTTGGATAAAGTCCGGGGAGAGCACATTATTAACCTGAACACGGAAATGTCTGCCAGTGAAAAAGTTCTTAAGGAAGGATGGTAGATTGCCTTGGAGGCCTAAGGAGTGGGCTTGGGCCAAAATATTATACCTCCAAGTTGTGTCATATGCCTTCTCAAGGTCAAAAAATATGGCAATAACTGAGTGGTTATTCGCAAAAGCATTACGAACATACGTATCCAAGCGTAGTAAGGGGTCTATGGTAGAACGGCCCTTGCGAAAGCCATATTGACGAATGGAGAGACTGTTGTGTGTCTCTAAATACCACACTAAACGTCTATTTACCAGGCGTTCCATCACTTTGCAAACTGCACTGGCAAGAGCAATGGGACAATAGTGGGAGGCTTCATGTCCCGTAGTACCCGGTTTGCGGAAAGGGAGAACAATGGCAGATTTCCACAGTGGTGGAAGAACTCTTTGTGACCAAATAAGATTGAAAAGGCGTAATAGGACTGCAAGGGCTGACTGATGTAAATGTTGTAGCATGAATATGAATGTCGTCAGGCCCAGCTGCCAATGATTGGCAAGCTTAGAGTGTTGCCTCCAGTTCTTGAAGTGTAAAAGGCACATTATACTGTTCTCTGAGAGAAGAAAAGCCCAAGGGTGCTAACTCTCTGGCAGATTTTGAAGAAAGAAACGAGGGGCATAGATGGAGCCCCTGAGAAATACGGAACAGATGATTGCCAATTTCATTGGCAACATCTAGTGGGTTCGCTACATCAACACCGGCAACCCGCAGAACAGGAGCCGGGTCAGGAGAATATTTACCACTCAGTTTTCGCACTTTTTTCCAGACTGCACTCATAGAGGAAGCAGAGGTGATGGTGGAGACAATCTCACCAGCAAGTGCGTTTAGCGTCACGGATGACATGGCGAGCTATTGCACGCTTCTGCTTAAAATCAAGAAGTCTCTCCGTAGTTCTCTTGTACCGGTACCTGCCCCACGCAGCACGTTTCAAACGTACTGCACGAGCACAAGCAGGAGACCACCAAGGCACGTATTTCTGAGAATGCCTGCCCGAAGTTTGGGGTATAGAATGAGAAGCTGCGGTTAAAACGGAGGATGAGAAGAGGTGTAAAAGCTCATCAATGGAGGACGAAGAAGGAACCTCACTAAAAAACAGTTAGTTGTGAGTAAAGGTTCCAATATGCCTGATCAAATTGCCAGCGTGGGTTACGAAGAGGTGGTGAATATGAAGGGGAAGTAAGAATGATTGGGAAATGATCGCTGTCATGTAAATCCGGGAGAACAGACCAGGT